TGATACATTGCAGACATCACCTGACAACTATGTGGTCACTCCACATCGTAAACGTCGCCCAGGCTTTCACAACTCCCCTGCGCAGAACCCACCATTTGTTCCTTTGTGTCCATCCTATATTGATGATATCCCGGCTTCACATCGTGGCCGTGGTCCTCCCAGCCACCTATCTCTCCCATTGGCTGCCTCATCAGCACCACAATACCTCGATCGTCCCGCCTCTTCACCAGGAACCAGAGATCTAACTTCCCCACAACAACATGGCCCTGAAGAAGTCAAGTACCGACCACCCAGTGGAGACGGCAGCTTGTCAAGCTCAGCTGAGTTCGGAGCAAGAGAAATAGCAGCAGGATGGGGTCCTTGGGCAATTTGTCAAGCCCAGGTAAATCCAGGTGGGGGGGAAACACTCAGCGGCGAAGGTGGCTCAGCAACGTCCTTGGCACCTGGGAAAGCCCCGCCAGTTAGAGAATATCGTTGTGAGTACTGCGGTAAACAGTTCGGCATGAGCTGGAACCTCAAGACACATTTACGCGTGCATACTGGTGAAAAACCATTTGCGTGTCGATTGTGTGTGGCCATGTTCAAGCAGAAAGCACACTTATTGAAACATCTATGCTCGGTGCATCGAAATGTAATCAGCGAAGGAGGTGAAGGTCGGTTTAACTGCTGTTTCTGTGAAGTTGCATTTGAAAGTTTGCAGGAGCTAATTAGACATTTATCAGGTCCACACAACAATCTTCTGCTCAGCAAGAATTTGCAATGATGCGTTACATTCAACATGTTGTGTCTGCATAGGTACAGAGTGGGCTAGAAGTCACAACTGCGACACATACAGCACAATCAGAAAGTTGTGCAACCCAACAGAGATATATATATTTTTTTGTTATTTATTTATTTATTTTTGGTCTATTCAATGACAGCATTGTCAAATGATAAGGTGAATAATGAATTTGAAGGGGATATGGAAGGAAGTGGTTATGGCCTCTTTTAAGATGCTATCCCAGAGGGATTGAGGATAACCATTATAAGGCTCAGTCAGGATAGCTGGTCTCCAGGCCAAGATTTGAATCTAGGTCCTGAATATGAAGTAGGAGTGCTAAATATTCAACTGCAATGCTAATCTGTTTTTGGTCGATTCATTTTTGTTAATATTATTTTTCTTTTTTACTTATTTTAATTTATCAATATCATCCTTAACACAGCAATGTATTTATTCACAAATTATGTTGAAAGTAATTCCTTCTTTACAACTCAGATTCATTGTGGATCAGTTCTTGTCATTGATGTTGCTATCTTACAGAGAATTATCAGTGAGACTGTACGTTGTCAACGTACTCAGAGGCAGATGATCTGGAAATACTTGTCTGTATGAATATATTTTTGCAGTCTGTAAAATCAGGGTATAAAGTATTCAGTGATGAACATACAGTGTCCTTGTGAGTAACATAATATTTGCTGTAAGAGGGTTCACATCATGTGTTAGAATACAAGAGTGCTGCCTCACACATCGTCTTATTTTGTAATTTTCTGTGAGAAAAATACCTGAATAGTGTGGGTTGTGTTCCTTTCTGATAAAACTGTACCTTACGAAGTGTCATAATTGTTAAGTATTTTTTTATTATCCCATGTTCATAAATATAGTCTGGCATTTTCATAAAAACATTGTGCTATTTTAATTAAGTAGTACCTCAACAAAAGTTATAAATTATGAATGTAGTACTGTGGTGGGTCTCCCAACTGGCTTCTTAGGATTCTTTTAGTCTGCAATATTTTCATGACCATTTCCAAAGAGATAAACCAGTCAGACATGCCTTCTTTGTTGTTATATAAACACATTAAATGGTACTTGTGACACTGAATTTATTTCAGATATGTAGAGGAGTTCAAAATGAGCCGGGATAGCTCAGTCAGTATAGTGACTAGCTACGGGCTGGACGACTGGGGTTCGATCCCCGACAGGGCCAGAGGATTTTTCCTCTGCGTCCAGACCGGCTCTGGGGCCCACCCAGCCTCCTCTACAATGGGTACCGGGGTCCTTTCCCGGGGGTAAAGCCGGCCGGGGCGTGATGCTGACCACTCACCCCCATCTAGTGCCGAGGTCAAGAAAGAGAGGCGCTATACCTCCACTCATCCCAAGTGCCTGTATGGCACGTAGCAGGACAAACTTTACTTTTTAGAGGAGTTCAAAAAATATATTTATACCATTTACAAAGTTTATTTCTTATATATTTCTTAATCATATAACCAAACTGAAATTGTGACTTCTCGACCACCAAGTACACATCAGTAGTGAAGGGGAATGATGGTTGAGCTTTTATTTAAGTTCACACACAAACTCATGTATTCTTGACATGAGTTTAATTTATGAAAGGAAGAATCTGTAGTAGTAAAACTATTAAAATTATTTACTGTTGTCATGATAGGTTTCAATAGTATGTGTGTTTGTGACATGTCACAGTGCAAACATTGCAAGTTGAATTACAGTGGCTTATCAGTTATCACATCACAACAAAATATTTTGCACATTCACCATGTTATTTATTATTTTCCTAAAAAATTATCTGATTCATATAATACCAGCATGGGCAGGTCTGCAATGATGTGCATACTGAGTTTCATAAAAATTGGAAATTTAATATACAGGTGTCCCTAAATGAGCTGTGTGACAAAGTGACAGACAGACAAACCAACAGACACAGCTTCTAATACGGTTCTGAAGAGAAACCACATTTTTTACAAACCTAACATCAGTTATAACCACAATCAAAACATTGAAGTGGAAAATGGGGTCCAAATGTTAATCTTGGAATAGTTATACAGCTTAGAAAAATAAAGTTATTTTGCTTTATTTCATTAAACTGCAAAACATAAATGCAAAATTAAGAGATGGATATACAATATACAAAATGCCATTCAGCTCTTCTAATACTGCCTAAAATTTACTGTAATACCTTTATAATTATTAGAATAAAGAGTACTACTTATTTGCCTGGCACACTACCTGACACCATGTTGACAAGGCGTACTATCTTAACAATATATATTACATCTCAGAAATCTTATATACCCGCAAAAAATTGATTTTTCTATATTCAGCAATTTCAACATTAGAAACTTATGTAAATGGCCTATAAATTAAAAAAATGTCAAGTCATAGGTTTAAGGGCTCTAAAATTATGTCTAAACAATTTATAAGGGAAAAAGAGAGAATTGTACATAAGGCAGATTAAATACTTATGCACCTGATGGAGATTACAAAAGATCATTAGTCAGGGCACAGAAGATCATGAACACTGAGAAACACAATCCCACCAAGTGCTGAAAGCCTGTCACTTAGAATCTATAATATGCTGGTATAACAAATCACGTACTTCGGTGTGCCTTCCTCCAAGACAAATATATATGAAATATAAGGAAACTCCACAAAGTAGGGGTCCCTAGTGGTTGAACAAGATGGCAGCCATTACCTTGCAGGTGGATGTTAGGGCCTAGAAATTTTGTCACAGGGGACTACTGTATTTTGATTTATTTGTAGTGGTGACACAAACTTTCAACAGTGACCATTTGATGGCCAGATTTTTATTGAACCTTGACATGTAATCAATCAGCCTCAGGTTTCTGTTGAATGTCCCCTGTTTAAATATTTGACTAGATGTTGAAGTAAAATATTCATGATCACCAGATATGCTCTAACAACATTGCACATTCAAATAAAGATCAGAATTTATTATGTTTCTCCTTATAGCATGGCCACTTCTATCAAAAAGACATGTATCTCTTACAAGATGAGGCATATTTTTTAGCCATATTTTTGGAAACATATCTGAGAAATTATAAACGTATTCAATGATGCAGAAAAAAGGAATCCAAGGGCTGAAATAAAACTTAGTGGTAGCACCTTTAGTACCGAGGTGCTACCACCAGGACCAGAGTGAAGGGCATTAAATGAGTTTTGTGTGTGAATCATATTAATTCTTTCCACTTCAAACCTGTTGAACCTTTCGTTGTAACAAAAAAATTGGCAACAAAAGAACCAACAGCTTGGACTTCACACTTGACAGTGACAGATGACAACTAAATACTGACATGAGAGTGGAAAGGGTTCAGCAATGTCACTTGAAGTAAGAAACATGTTTGCATGTGTTGATAGTTTTAAACTTTGTCAAATTTGTATTCTTAATAATCGACAGACTGTGAAGACAGTGGCCTATAATGTACAATTGTCACTAATACCCAACATTTAATGTTTCACCAGAGTAGGGGGGAAAAAAGGAAGAAAGGAATGTGATAGACCAGGGTCTCCTGGATCATTGCCTTAAGAATGGATTTCAGATCGGTTTTAGTTTGTGTATTGTAATACTAGGTAGATGATATACTATATTTATTTGCACAAATGATTATTTTTCTGTTGTTGAAAAGCCATACATAGCTTTAACTGTTGACAATAGCAAACATTCAGACAAGGGCAGTTATTTCTATGTTATTTCCTATGTTTAGTATAGAAAGGGTTACCCAAACAAACATTTTTCATGATTTCAAATAGCGTTATCATGTTCTACAGGTGATTATTTTATAATTGTGGCTGTGCAAGAAACACATCACTGTCATGGCTTTGGGATGAACAGGGGCATTGATTTTTCTCTCTGCTGCCATGACTGTTCGATAGCAGCACTGGGGAGCATGTGGCCTTCTTTCTAATCAGAACATAATGATCATCTGCTGACATTTCCACTGGGGTGGGTTGTCTTGTGACAAAGTCTATTCCATTCATCTTGTCCTTGGTCTCTCCAATTTTCATATATTCACCATCTTCATTTCAGTTAGTTCCAAAGGAATCCAGTTGTTACTTATATTTTCCTTGTAATGTTTCTGCTTTTATTTATTTTATTTCTCATTTCAAATGTTAACCTTCCTTGTTTGTTTCTTAATACTCCATAGAAAGTTCATCTCTATTGCTGTAACCTGCTTACATCTTTGTCTTAAAACAGGCAAATGAATTGAAGGTGCATGTCTTCTGGGATGTTTCACTGTGTAGTCTGGTAGAAGTTTACTGACACCCACATGTGCTTGCTCTTCCATCATCAGGGCAGTCACTCAACAAAGTACACAGTGCAACATCCCAGAAGACACATCATCTTCATACTTGCAGCCATAAGAACCTAAAATCTCACCAGCTTTAGCCTCCAACAGTTTAATAAAGTTCCTCTCTGTTATTTCTTCTCAGATTTTAACATTTTATGATTGAAGGAGGGGAATTCAAAATTATGCTTAAAACACTTGCAAATAAATATGGTATACATGATACAATTTAAACAGTCTTTTGTTTGCAAATAATGCATTAATCAGTGTCTTGCAACAAATCTAGTGGTCCAGTTTGCGTTATGTGCATTTATACACTGCCATAAGGACTGTCAGTTGTCTTAGGTTGCATTGTAAAGCAACACGAATATTATTAGAGTCTGATAATGCAATATGTAAATATTTTAGATTCTATAAACCCTTCAAGAGCTTTTTAATCCAAACATTATTCCTGTTTTTGCACTTTATCTCGAGTCAGATATAAGAGAAAGAATTTATTACTCAGTACAGTTTACTCTTTATCATAAAGGAATAGGGAATTTAAAACCCTGTATTACGAGGCAACCAACTGGACTTTAATGTTTGTGTTAATGGAACACATGGCCAGCTGAATCATGTGTGATCCACAGTGGATGGATTTGGTAAAGGTTAATGTTCATTTTTTTGAGCTGTCCCGTGTAAGTTCATTTATTTGTCTTCAAATAAATTACAAGTTCCAACTGACCAATAAAACCCATGTTCTAGTATATAATTCTCAGTATTTTATGTGTTATTTGCACAAAGTACATAAGTGAACACACGTAGAGAAAGTTATGTATCTTTTAAATGCCAGAACTACTGAATGGATTTCTGGGAATTTTGATATTAAGCA